CGGAAGTTTGACTTCTAAACTTTCTTCGACCAAGATTTTAAGGATAGCAATTCAGTGAACAGAATCAGGAAAGATCCGCTGAATTAGGTTTCCGCAGTGATCAACAACCCAAGAGGCAGACATTACTGGGACAACCTTGGTCGAGTAGCTTACTGTCCTGTTTGGTCTTCGTTTTTCCATACGTGCCAGGTGAGGTCTCTAGATCTTGACAGGACATCCTGCAGAACTCACCAGCTCCCTGGAGCTGAACACTATGCCAGAGAAAATGCCATATAGAATGTCAGAATGTGATATATATATATATATTATATGTCTATGTTAAACAAGTTATACATATTACATTTCATATGTTTTGTGTTTATATTGTAAATACGGTATACATATTATATTTACACTATCTATATATACATATTGCTATTTATTATTTATAACATATATTTATTATTTTAGAATCAGTATATGTAGTTATATATATGATATATATATAGAATATCATTTATACTATGTATATTATATACTTGTTTACTGAATATAATTTATGATATATTTTATCTAGTTTACATCTATCATAAATGATCTATATATATATAAGTATATATGTATTCTCAAATATATAACATGCATATATATATCTATCTAATAATGTTTATTTCATTTATTCAATATTCTTTCATATTGGTTACAACTTATTTTATATTATATAGATATTTAAATAAATAAATATATATATATATTATATGTATATTATATCAAATACAATATATAAATTTTTAATGTCAGAGAAAATCAGGAAATATGTCAGACAACATACCAGATAGAATGTGATACGGATTTATATATATATATATATGTTTTATTTTTTTATATATACTTTTTATCTTTTCTATATTATTTTTTAAATATAAATTATACTATATATATTTTATTATATACATATATTAATTGATTCGCATATTTCAATAACACACACAAATAGATCATTTCATATCTATCACACATGTATGTATATATATATATATACATTTATTTTATGCTCAATATTTATGTATATTTATGTATATTTATTTAATATTATAAATATATATATATTTATGTTTTGTTTTAGGTGTATTTTTCATTTTTTCAAAATATATTATTTTTTCAATAACACATATATATATAACGGTAATATATATACATATATATTAATATTATATATATACATATATATTAATATTATATATATATATATAGATTATTTATTTGTTATGTAGATATATTTTTCTTATATATATATTTATATTTGTGTATATGCCATTGGTTTACACATATATCTTCATATATATTTGATGTATTTTTTTATTTTTAAATCAAATTTATTTTAGTCATTAAATATATATATCTGTATTATTTATTTGTTTTATTTTTATATAGAAATATATTTTTGAATTTGTAATATATATATTTATATTGCATATATATATTTATATATATATTTTTAATTTATATATATATACATTATTATTTTTCAAACTGTATTTAATGTAAACATAATCTACACATTTATTTTTATTAAATGTAGTATATTTATATTATATGTGAATTATATTTCATACTTAATGTAATATGTTTTTTATTTTTATTATTTGTTTGTTTTATATGTTTTATGTTTTAAATATGTTTTATGTAATTTATTACAAATTATACTTTATATATATATATTATATATTTTTTATATATTATATATATTATATATATTATATATATTATATTTTATCTATATTATATATATTATATATCTTGTATATATTATTTAGATTATATATTATATTATGTATATACCATATATTTTTTTTTATTTTTGGAATATACTTAATATAATATATATATATTATATATATATATTATTTAATATATAATATATTTATTATTTATATTATATGTATTATTTATATATATATTATATTATATATATATATTATATTATATATATTATTTATTCTATATATTATATTTATTATTTATATTTTATATATATTATATTTTATATATATTATATTATATATATATACAATATATAAAATATATTATATATATATATATTATATAATATATATATATATATTATATATTATTTAAATATATATATATTATATTATATTTTATTTATATATATATTATATTATATTATATATATATATATATATTATATTATATTATATATATATTATATATATTGTATATGTTACATATACTTTATTTGTTTTTTTCCTCAATTATACTATATATATGTTTATTTTTTTATCGTATGCAATATATATTTGATTTTGGTTGCGCTATATATAATACATGTGCGTTTTATTTTTCAAAATTTTCAAAATATATTTTCATACAGTTTTTATTTTCTATATATTCTATATTCTATATTTTTTTGAAATTATACATTTTTTTTAGATATATTGTTTTTTAATATCTATATATATATATATATAGAATTTTATATATTGAAAATATTCTATATATTAAATATATATATATATATATCATATATTAAAAAGTATTTATATTATATGTTTTTGGTTAATATATATATATTATTTTGTATATATTTAAGTTAAATTGTATATATTCTAAATACTGTATTGTTATATCTTTTTATACTCTATATATATATTACATACTGTATCTAATATGTTTTGTTCATATATTGTATATTGTATATATTGTATATATTGTGTATATATATATATATATTGTATATACTGTAAACATCCTATATTATATATATATTATTTATATGTTATATACATCCTTTTTAAAACATATGTATATATATATTATTATATTATATATATATATTATCAGAGAAAATCAGAAATATGTCAGATAAAATGCCAGGTGGAATGCCACATAGAATCTCAAAAAGATATATGTCAGATAAACGCCGGATACAATGTCAGAGAAAATGCAAAAACAACACCAAATCAAAGGCTAGAAAGGATGCCAGCTACAATGTCAGATAGCATTTCACACACAATGTAAATTGTCAGATAGAATCGAAGAAGGTAAGTGCAATAATTTGTTAAAATATTCAGCAACCTTGAATATATGATGTATTTTTCCCGCTGCAACTCAGTGGCTGGTGGTTTGAAACCTTCATCCCAATGGGGTCTCAGCCGCCATATAGTTCAGAAAAGGCTTTGAAAAGGCCTTGAGAAAGCCTTCAAAACCCCGTTGGAACGTGATAGAACATTTTTTTTTCGGATCTCCTGAAAAGGATTGTTTACAAGGATGCAGGGATGATATAAACCAGTTCACTGCGTTTTAAACATTTTAAAACCAACTCTTCTGTTTTTGTGTGTGGTGGGAGGGCACTATGCCAGTCCCATGGATTAGATGAAAACATGTAAACGAGTGCAAAAACATGTAAAAAACTGAGTTATTAAGTTATTAATGATTATCTCTGAGTTATTAATGGATTAAGTCAGTAATCCATTAATAATTCATAATTTCTCAGTGTAAAGTCATAAGGATTGCGGGTACACCCGTTGGACCCCCCTTTGGAGACCCGCTGCGCTCAGGTTTCTGCAGCGGGCCAAGCCTCCTCAGATCGTGGCCGTTTCCGAGTGGGTTCGGAGCACCGGGGGATGGAATCTCAGAAAACAAGGGATATATATATATATAGCCATACAACCAACAAGATTCCAGTTGTTAAAGCCATAAGTAGTTGGTTTTTGACTACAAATTTAACCGTTGGATTTATTATGGATATAAAACTATGGAAACTAACAAACATAAGGTTGGTATGCTGGAGCGCTTTGTGGGGAATTGTTGATATATTTATTAGTATAATATATAGACATATATATATATTACAATTATACTATAATTGTACATATTATAATGATACATGGGGTTGCAGCAAATTGTTGTTTGTTGCCATAAATCAGAACATTGAATAATAAACTAAAAACACCTTCTGCAGAATAGATTTGAACATGCCATAGTTGCTGTTCACAATTTATGAAGACAGTAGTAGACCCTGAATTTGTTCTTGAAATGTTGTTTGGTTTTGTACGCTATGTTATTATATTGTATTTTAATATATTTTACTGTAAGCCAAATTTTTAAATGGGTATGTGTACTTGGAGGGTCGACGTCTCAATACATAAACATATACGTATTACATATATATTTATATATACTTGTAATATATGGGTCAAAGACTGAATCTCCATGATTCTTTGGGATTGAGTAATTGACCATTGATTTGGTGAGGGTGCAGTTTTGATCCCTTCCCGCGTACCAAATAGAAGTGTCACCTAGAAAAGTGGCCCCTGTTGGAAACAGTCGTGAAACCTGTGTTCGGTCTTTATTCTTGGGGTTCAACAATGCTTGCGGAATGCTCTGGCATATTCTCAACAGCTGTCTACAAATTGTAAGGTCTATGCCGGAAGGTGGGTTTGACTTATCTTTTGCTTGCAACATTTCATGCCATGATGCGACCTTGCTCGTCTTTAAAACTCCACACAACGCATCACTACGCATATCTTGGATCATGGTCCCAAGCCATACTGTACTTTTCCAGTTCGTATCCCGCGGGAGGTTCCTCCCTACGAGCGACAGCCAGAAGAAGCCTTGCGGCTTTACATGCAGGAGCAGTGAAAATATGTGAAGCAACAGGCCTCCAGGGTTCAACTAACTCATCAAGTGGGCTCTACGTTGATCACTTTCTATCACCAATTTATCTGACATTAGTGGGAATTTGCTTCAGAATGGAGATTTACTACATGAATTGATCCAAATTGTGGCAATGGGGATTCATGTTTCAGGCCAAGTCACAAGTCACAAGAGTGCTGCAATTTGCAATCAGCAGTCCAGTGCAATCACCACATCAACAAACATAGTCACAGTATGTCACAGTCATCAGCCGAAGGAGTGGTTATTCACATTCTTTATACATATCGTCTATCGGGAGTGCCTGTACCTATATTTAGCCATTTAACCCGAATTGGTGTTTGAATTATCAAGAACCGTCAATATATGCCATAACCAAAAACTTGGTGGTGCGCGTGACGACCACTACCACTAGTACAGACTGTTAGGGCCTGACCTAAATACAGTTGCTAGATGTTGCTAGGGAGCCCAAAAGTACTCAATCTTGGGGTTTGGGTTATAAGCCACCTATTCAACAGTTAGTCAACATCAGTGAAGATTCAAGTTTATGGATTATCCTGCAAGGTCAGTGACTACCTGTTGGGATGCGGAGCAACTACACTCATAAACTTCACTAATGGGACCCAAGAATGGCCAAATAGAATAGGACTATACTATCATTTCCAGACCCCATTTGTGGGTTTCATGTGTTGTTTTTAGGTGGAGGTGTTTCTTGTGATGCCTTCCATTCGGCTTTGAAGGAGTTCCTACAAGTGGCCAGATTGGTGCTGAAAGAAGGTGATGCGGTGTTGGTCGGCTTTTATTCGGTAGTCAATGCCCATGTTTATACATGTGTTGCACGAGAACACATGCACGGTGGAGAATAGACTAAGCAGAAATGCAAGCAGAAAGAAGCAAAACAGTATCAATTATTGTATACTATATCCTCACATATATATATAATTATATAATATATATATATATAACATCGTCTCAAACATATACAGTATATATATAATTACGTATGTATGTACTATACCTACAGAGCATGGGGGACCATGTGGTGCGGTGACACCCATGGTAATGTGCTGAGCCCATACCCTCCTTACAGGCCTTAAACAAATCACCTATGAACATGAAGGTCCCCTTGAAAGTGAAGCATCCCAAGGGATATCCAATAATTTCAAGGTTATTTAAGTTCAATCCTCTATCAATTTAGTTGTCACCTAAATGTAGATAATTACACATAGATAAATTATATGTGTTCTTATGTATATATATATACACATGCATACCAATAGACTATGGATCGAAGTACCTTGAGATATATATATATATATATATTTAATATAAATAGGAGAGAGGCTATATACATTGACATAGTGTTTGGGCTATCATTTCAGGGGTGTACAAGTATACTTTTACAGTAAGAATATATCACTACAATGAACTCCCTATCACAGATGACGTCGGTATGAGGTCGCTTGAATTCTATGAAAATCAATATACATCTCTGTCCTTCGGAAATGACAAGCATATCCTCAAAAACCAATAAAACATGAGAATCCAGATAGATAATAATAGATATACATATTGAAATATAGCAATCTCTATAGATAAATTATGTTAAAACATGATCAAACCCATTGCAAAATTCATCAATCTCAGGCGGCAACGACCTTCGACAGCTGCTGCAACTGTTAGATGAAGCGCTGGAGGAGAATCTGCGGACCGAGGTGGGACATGGAAAATCCATGGCGTGCCATGGGACCCATGGGAAACATGGTGGTTAATGGTGGTTAATGGTGGTTAATGGTGGTTAATAGATGTTACAGTAACAGATGTTAATAGTGGTTAATGTGGTTAAAACAATGTCATGTTTACCACCCATGTTCCTGGGAATGGTAAGTAACCATCCCACCTTTTTGAACATGGTGATTTTCCTGGGGGATGGTGCGTTTATGGCATTGTTTTACCATGATATATCAAGGAAGATCATGGGTAAATCATAGGACATGATGGGGTAATGGTGGCAAGTCCTGGACGTTTTTCGAACAGAAACAGAGACATCTGATATGGGCTGACCCGTGGCCATCGGTTGCTTAATATTGCTGGAAGTATTTGGTGTGGAACTTCTATGTTATATATATATGTTATATACATTGTGTATGTATATATATATGCTGTAACAGCTTGGAAGTATAAATGAACATATCATATCCACGTGCCGTTGGTTGGTGCAAACTGGTGGGGGTCAAGTAATAGGGCAAAGATTGGCGATGATGAAACCCTCTGGTAAACATACAAAAAGCACCACAGGGTAATTTTGCTCAAGTCCAGGAACATGTTTTGTTTTTTATCAGCCAATGGCGATATAAATGGGATACGGCCGATTTGTTTTTGAAAGGTTGCTTTGGATACCCAGCCATTGATAATTTAAGGGTCTGGAACTGGTGATACTGTCCTTACTTAGATCATTTAGCGCTAATACCTGCAGGCCAATCCAAACTGCCAAAGCCCAAATAGCATCAAATTGCTATATCAACATCGCAGTGGAACTGCAAGTTGTTCTCTTTGTATGTTCACCACAGTATCATTGACCCATCTTTCCCCATGGTTTACCCATTGATTATAGTATATTATAGTTAGAGCGGGTGTATCTTTGAGTAGTTTTCTGGGTTTAACAAAAACATGGGTATAGAATCCTTCATGGATTCTCCCTATGAAAGCTTGCTATATTGGTTGTCACCCATCACCCGGTCCAGGCCATGCTTCTCAGCGATCCCGTTGGGAACTCAGAAGTTCCGGGCGTCTTTCGGTTCATCCAAGGAATTCACAGTTAAAATCAGAAAGAAATCTGGCCAATTTTCGACGTAAAAAAAATGCGGTCATTTCAGATTCATGTCATTCAAATGTTGTTTCTGTTCATCTTGATTGAGTTGGGTGATCCAACTCAGTATTCTAACCTTTGATCAATGCTGGTTTTGATTGGTGAAGTGCCTGATTCGGGACTGGTTTGGGCTTTGAATTTGGTCACTTCCATCTTGATGTTGGTGGAATTTCGCCTTTCCCGTCTTGCGGTGTTTTTTCCGGTGCTGGTACACCTCCTTCAAAGCGCTAGCTGGCTTTGAAAGACCTGCGAGCCATAGCCTTCCTACAGGACATCCAATTTATTACACTTCTCAATTTGCGGCCACGTTTATTGAGAAAGTATTAACCCTGATCAACCAAAATCAACCAATAAGGGTGGTATATATATATATACATGTAATGGGTATATAAGATAGTATAACTTGATCCTCTGAGGGTATTATAGCGAGGTTTCCAAACATGCGGATAGCCCACATCATCCAAACTTCCCATTTGAGTGTTGAAAACCTGTGGTCTTGGGGATCCAGCATATTGGCTTGGAGCGCCATTTCACTCTTCCACTGCAGGAGAGAGCGCCACTCTTCCAGCGGATCTTCCCCTTCTTTGCCTGCACCAATCTCAGTGTTTTGGGATGTTTTGGGCTTCAAGGGATGCTTTTTGAAGGGGGAATACCCTCTGGTAAACTAACATAGCTGTTGAAAATGGCCCATTTGTAGTGGATTTGCCCATACAAAATGGTGATTTTCCATAGTTATGTTAGTTTACCAGAGGGTAATACCGTATTGTTTCGTGAGCTGCTCGCAGAGGGCGATGTGTCGCTAAAAAATCCAGGTTTTGCGGCGGCCGCGCGGAATCGCAAGGCTGGGTAGGTTACTGGTCCATGGATCATTTACAAACCCCAAAGAACCGGAAATACATATTGCTTTGCCTGCCTTCGGAAAATATTGCTATACTTATTAGTGTGATGAACCATGATGAAACAATGAAGTTTCTGGCACTTTGCGGTTACATGAATTTATAATTATAGAATTCATGTTGTGTCGAGAATCTCCAACCACCACCAACCGTGGCTAGCGGTTCGGATGCCAGGCACTCCTGTTCGAGCCGCCACAGGCCTATGGTTTTCGTGGTTTTGGGGATCCACCATTTTCGGAAACCTGGTTTAATGCTGAATTTCCCACATTACATTTTTTTTTTGCCGCTTGGGTTGTCATCCCACTTTGAAGCTGGTCGGCAATTATGATTATCTGATTGCTCTCCATGTTTGCACAAGTGTTATGTCAAGCTGTCGACCACTGGGGGTAGCCTCAGTAGCAGGGGGAAGACAGGGGTGACCATAACTTTAGAGGGGAGCGAATACCAGGGCAGATGCGACCTATATCGGAATCATGTGCAAAATTGTATGTGTATAGTGAGGTTGCTATGCATATTATGATTCAGACAGATGGTACATTCAGTTATGTTCCCATGATATTCCCATCATATTAATACCACAATTAAATATTATTCCATATATACTGTATGTATATATATATATACACACCATCATATTCCATCAGTATAAAACTGGAATATAATATGGAATATATGGCACATCCAGCTATTTCCCCATATATATATATATACATATATAATATATACACACACCATTCATATCAACAACGTTTGTATACACCCCTTCAGTTCACGATTCGCCACCAAGCCCTATTTGGTGGATTTTCACCTGGACATCCCCAAAAAAAAACGGACGGTTCAAGATTCTAGATTCCTAAAAACTTCCCAAAAATGGATGGTTGTGTGGTTTAACTGTTGTTTCCCCCCGTTTCATGAAAAATGTTGGGCTGACGAATGGATGGATATCCTCCTAGTCAATGCTGAGGGTGCCGGGCCTCCACCGGTGGAAGTGGAGAAACTGCCTCTGAAGGCCCGTGAAGCTTGGGGCGGACCCCTTGGAGTTGGAAGATAAACATGTTTCCGAAACCCCAAAACAAAGGAGGTATGAGGGGGTATCTGGTTGGGGGTTTCAAATATTGTGTTTCAACCATGTTTTGGGTGATTGGTTGAGATGACTATGGGTTAAGACCACCAGGTGTGACCTTGTTTGCAAGAGGATGATTCCTTTCAAATACTTACCTGAATCAGGAAAATTATGATTACTGTAACCAAGAGATGGAATGGGATACCCAGGTTGGGGAATGCAAGCTGGAGCGGACAATCCCATTCCACAGGATGTCTACCTTTGTTTGCGTAATTCTTTGGAGATGTCTTTCAAATATGTCTATATAATAGTTCAATATAAATCAATTTATTTGAGATCATTGACTTTCATCTGTTCCAAAGTTGTGTTGCAAGCATCAGCTGACCAATTGCTGCTATCCGTGATGATCCCAATTGTATAACTGATATGTGTGGGATCGGTTGAACTTGAACCAACAGTGAGGCGGCTCAACTGCTGTCGTCCCCGAGATATACTGCCAGGTGGCATTGAACTTGCAGCGGCAGCTGCAGAGACAGGCTGGGGGAAGCTGGTCCATGAATTAGTCATTCTTGGAAATAGATGAAATAGAGTCTATAGGTATTTAAAAACATCAGGTTCTGGATAAATTGTGGTTTGGCAGGTTGAAGAATACACATAACCGATGGAATGTTCTGAATGGTTTAGGTGTTTTGTTTTGTTTGAACCAATGTTTTTGGATGTTTTAGGTATTGTAGAATGCAAATCAACGACTATATTCACTGGGCCAGAAAAAATGCAAACATAAAGAGCACATTACAAGTAGACACCTATGTAAACATCGTATGTGGAGTCGTTCAGAAGTCAGAATAGCTTGTTGAACAGGCAATTTATCATAATTTATCCATGTGTAGCATCTTAATATGCTTAAGATACCCAATAGATGTTGATTAAGATATTGGGTACATAAGATATGTCCATGTACTATATATCTTCACCCAACATACATGCGGCTCCATGGCGCCGCCAGGCTGCAGAGGGTGCACTGGCATACAGCATCTCGATGATACGATGGATTGAGCTGAAATATGATTAGTTACCCTCTGGTAAACATACAAAAAACGATTGAACATAGCGATTAGTTGGTTGATTTACCCATTAAACATGGTGATTTTTCACAGTTATTATAAGTTATGTTAGTTTACCAGAGGTAATTGATAGTTGTTAAGAATGGTTAAGAATGACTAATAATGGGATATTTCACGGAATAGTCAATCTGGATAATCTGGGCAAAGTTGTTTATGACTTGACAGTAAGTAAAAGGGTCAGAAGACTTAATGTATGAATTTCAGGTGCAGCATTATCAGCCCTTGTTTGATCTTGGGTTGATGAGAATAAATCCGAGCAACCGTGGTGGTAAGTACAATGCACAGTAAATACAATCTATATCAACCTATATTGATCTATATTTGGCAAGTTTGATCAACCAGAGGTTGATATCGCAGGTAAGACAAATTATTTTTGTTCTTGGAGTTGATGCTTGGCCAGGTTTTAGCACCCACTTTTTGGTGTAGAAAATCGGCCAGTGGTACGTACGGCCAACAGCTTTGGGGTCCTGAAATGGATGGATACGGATGGATCAAAACCTATGGAATACCATATTTGAGGATATTTGAGGGGCATTACCCTCTGGTAAATTAACGTAGATCCTGAAAATCACCAATTTTTAGCAACCCCTATCTACCAGTGTCTATGTTAATTTACTGGAGGGTAACATCTACTGTATGTCTATTTTGGAGCTACGTTGGTGTTCGCCAAGGTACCAGGGTTTGTGTGTCATTGATTGTAAGGACGCTCGGTCCAGTGGTTGACTTGTTTGGGTATCTTGGTAACCACCAAATCAAATGTGCTCAGAAATGCCCAGCTGCTTGCTATGATGAAATACCCAAAAATCATGGCTATGCCAATGGTTATTCCCAGAAATTGCGATGACATGCCCTCAACTATCTTGATTGTAATGATGAAATACCCCTATTGCTGGCACGGTGGGTTCCGAAACTGGGATTGGTCGGAAGCACGATGCGGTGAAGGATCCTCCTTGACACCGAGGTGGTACGGCCCTGGAGACAGCGAAGAAGCAGAAGCTCGGCCAACTTGGGACCTGGTTACCAGTAACGATTGGTTGGTTGGTTGGTTTGAGAGTTGTTTTTTTAAACTATATTGATGGGTCACCCCCAGCAATAATCCCCAAAAAATAGGAGTACAGCAATCAAAATCATACCAAAATAATGGTATGGTACGTTCCGTTGTTCTGGGGTTACCATCAGAAGCAATTTTAATGGATGAATCATGGTGAATCTAATCCAGTATATTCTTGTATCGATCCATCCCAAAGATGAGCAATGAAAAATTGCAGCAACAACCATGCAGTGTGTGATCAGTAGTCAGATTTACCCTCCGGTAATTTGTTACATCGCTATTGAAAATGGCCCAGTCGAAATAGTGGATTTACATGGATTTACCCATTGTTTCAATGGTGGATCTTTCCATAGTTTTGTGTATGTTTACCAGGCCGGGTATATTTCAGATATATGATATTTCGGGGTTTCATGGGGTTTCCATACATGGGGGTACCCCTAAATCATCCATTTCCAGATGGATTTTCCATGAAATAAACCATCCAGCGAGCTTGGGTAGCCCCATGACTATGGATTTCCGGTTCAACCATGACAGGCGTGTCGCGAGATCCTGAGATCCCGCTGCGCCAAACGCTAAGGATGATGTATAGATCTATGATGAGGCGGCAGTCAATAAGGGATAGCCTTTTTGGTAAACGTTTAGAGTTTGCGAACCTGAAAATCACTATCTTTAAGTTCGGTAAATCAACGATTTCGACTGGGGCCATGTTCAATAGCGAACTGTTAAATTACCAGAGGGTACTTGGTGGGCCAAACAGCAGAAGGCAGCACTTGAAAGAGCAGGACCCTAGTGCTCGGTGAAAGATTATTTGTTGAATAGATTTGCTATCAGCATCAAACCTGTTGTTTGGCCATGCAAAAAAATATTAAACAATACAGGTAATACAATGATTCAGTATCGACATATTGGTTGATGTTTCTGAAGGAAATCATTTTGAACTGCCTGTCCTTCAACAGTAAGGCGGACTCTTTCAGCAGCTATGAATTGGCAGATCCAGCCGGTCCACGGCTGTCACAATTTGGACCCAAAAACGCATGGTTGAATGTGTCCTTTTTAGCAGCTTTGTATGTACATATCATACTCTAGTGTCCCCTACTTGGTGATTTCAAGCCTATTTGGGAGGATGGTTCCAATTGACTCATGTTTTTGTTGAGATGATTGAAACCACCAACCACTAGCCCTTAGAAATCCCCTTGTTGCTTCACAGCCTGATGGGTAAATAGGAGCCTGTCACTGGCTCACATACTCGTATCCTCCAAATGGCTTAAGGAAAATGTCCAGGAGCCTGTCACATTTGAATGTTCGACATGAACATGCCAACTAATTGTGAATGCAAGGCACAATCGTGGCGCATCAGTATGATTCACATCAGTATGATTTGTAGTCACAGCAGTTTAACATGGCTTACCCAATGGTGGCATCCTGGTGTTGGTGACCTGGTTGATGGTTGGTCCTCATGGTGAAAGAAGGTCCCCTTCTTTCAGTTGTAAGTTGGTTTCGAAACCAATGTTAAAATATTCATATTCAATAGCCAAGCAAATATGTTTAAACATATATATACTATAATTTACAAAGATATCTAGACCCTACGTATGTTATAAGCCACCTTTGCACTCACGAGCTGGGATTGCAGGCACACTATCTCTCTACGCAGGGAATGCGATCTCTTCAGCAGCCTCTTCCTGGAGACGCGGCTTCTCTCGGTCCGGGGTCCCTGGGGAGCCATGGGATGAACTCCAGAAACATTGGTTGCAAATGAAGATGTCTAGCTCAGTGGATTCCGGAGATCCTAAAGCGACCGCGCAAAGTGTGTGTTTTTCTTTTAAATTCTTTTGATGGGAGCACCCCAGATGGATAGAACAATCAGTGGAACAGTTTCCCCCCGACAAAATGATGATGATTTCTTGGTTAAAATCACGAATCCCAGAATTGTTTGCAGGGCAAAAGTCAGGCAAAGTCCTGCAGATTGTTCAATTGAACTAATCCATTGAGCTTCCATTTGGTTTGGTTTTATAATACGTAAATGTTTAAATTATCTATGTTGGTTGGCTGAAACTAAATCCACATCTTTGTTACTTAGACATACTTAGACTATCAAGATTGTTGGTGAACTCTGCTGTTTTTATGGATTAAGTCCCATTTGTCCAAGTAAATGCCTCCACTTTCCGGCTGACGTCTTAGTTTGAAGCTTCATATCTTCACTTCCGATGCAGGATCAACTCCACATTGCGCTCACGCAGTGTTGCGAGGTTGCTTTACAGGGAGGTGGCTAAAAATCTAAAGCCCAAAATAAATGAGTTGGCTTCTGTAAAGGGAGACATTACAGAAAACAACTGCTATTGTATTACTTCCCAAGTATTTGGGTTCTGAGACAAAAGGGACATAGAGGGAAAACTCTGGAGATCATGTGGTATACCTGCTAATAAAGCATGTACATATTGATACATAATTGCATAATTCATTCATACCTGTCTAATTGTTTACTTGGGCCTGACTTATGGAGTGAAAGCCTGCTAAAAGCATAATCAGTGAAGCATCCTCAATTTCAACATTTGAATCCATTGCCAGGTTTTATTTCAAGATTTCGAAGCCAATTGGAAGGGGAACCATAGGATTGTTGTTTCGTTGCCATGTTTGAGACAACGCCAAGTATGGCTAGAGTATGGAGTAGCCCCCAAAATGTAACCCAGCCCAGAAATGTTGGTGATTCACCATGATTTACCGACATAGCACAAACAAGGGACAGATTGACGGTTGATCTATGACTTGAATTCTTGGCTATGTGGAGGTTTCCTAAAACAGGGCTACCCCCAGTCATCATCCATGAAAAAAATGGGATTATCCATGAAATAAACTATCCATTTTCCATCCAGTGGGGTACCACCATGACTATGGAAACCTCCATGTCATTATACAAAATAGACCACCAAACCAAGCCTTTGCCATCATAGATATTTCAAGTGCAGGACATCTTAGAAACAAACAAAGATATTTCTTGGACAAGAACCAATGTTCAGTTTGTTGCTTATATAAATATGGTATATATAATTATACAGATACATCTCATTGTCTCCCATTATTTTCCAGGATGCCCCACTACATTCCGTATAAAGTGGGTACAATCATAAGCAACCCATTTGGGAATGGATTGTTTATACCACCTATAAAAATGGTGACTGGGGGATGGTTTATGAAATGGTGTGAACAACCACATTATTCATTATTGTTGTTGATTTATGAGATTGTTTGAACCACATTATTCATTATTGTTGATGGTTTATGAAATTGTTTGAACCACATTTTTCATTGTGGTTGATGGTTTTTGAATTTGTTTTGAGCCACATTATTCATTGTTGTTGTTGGTTTATGAAATTGTGTGAGCGACATTATTCATTATTGTTGTTGGTTTATGAAATTGTTTGAACCACATTGTTCATTATTGTTGATGGTTTATGAAATTGTTTGAACCACATTATTAATTATTGTTGATGGTTTATGAAATTGTTTGAACCACTTTATTCATTATTGTTGATGGTTTATGAAATTGTTTGAACCACATTATTCATTATTGTTGTTGGTTTATGAAATTGTTTGAACCACATTTTTTTTGTGGTTGATGGTTTATGAACTTGTTTTGAACCACATCATTCATTATTGTTGCTGGTTCATGAAATTGTTTGAACCACATTTTTCATTATTGTTGATGGTTTATGAAATTGTTTGAACCACATTTTTCATTGTGGTTGATGGTTTATGAACTTGTTTTGAACCACATCATTCATTATTGCTGTTGGTTTTTGAAATTGTGTGAACCACATTATTCATTATTGTTGTTGGTTTATGAAATTATTTGAACCACATCATTCATTGTGGTTGATGGTTTATGAACTTGTTTTGAACCACATCATTCATTATTGTTGTTGGTTTATGAAATTGTTTGAACCACATTTTTATTGTGGTTGATGGTTTATGAACTTGTTTTGAACCACATCATTCATTATTGTTGCTGGTTTATGAAATTGTTTGAACCACATTATTCATTATTGTTGATGGTTTATGAAATTGTTTGAACCACATTATTCATTATTGTTGTTGGTTTATGAAATTGTTTGAACCACATTTTTTATTGTGGTTGATGGTTTATGAACTTGTTTTGAGCCACATCATTCATTATTGTTGCTGGTTTTTGAACTTGTTTGAACCACATCATTCATTATTGTTGATGGTTTATGAAATTGTTTGAACCACATTTTTCATTGTGGTTGATGGTTTATGAACTTGTTTTGAACCACATCATTCATTATTGCTTTTGGTTTTTGAAATTGTGTGAACCACATTATTCATTATTGTTGTTGGTTTATGAAATTATTTGAACCACATCATTCATTGTGGTTGATGGTTTATGAACTTGTTTTGAACCACATCATTCATTATTGTTGTTGGTTTATGAAATTGTTTGAACCACATTTTTATTGTGGTTGATGATTTATGAACTTGTTTTGAACCACATCATTCATTATTGTTGTTGGTTTATGAAATTGTTTGAACCACATTTTTCATTATTGTTGATGGTTTATGAAATTGCTTGAACCACATTATTCATTATTGTTGTTGGTTTATGAAATTGTTTGAACCACATTATTCATTATTGTTGTTGGTTTATGAAATTGTTTGAACCACATTATTCATTATTGTTGATGGTTTATGAAATTGTTTGAACCACATTTTTCATTGTGTTTGATGGTTTTTGAATTTGTTTTGAACCACATTATTCATTGTTGTTGGTTTATGAAATTGTTTGAACCACATTATTCATTATTGTTGATGGTTTATGAAATTGTTTGAACCACATTATTCATTATTGTTGTTGGTTTATGAAATTGTTTGAACCACATTTTTTATTGTGGTTGATGGTTTATGAACTTGTTTTGAACCACATCATTCATTATTGTTGCTGGTTTATGAAATTGTTTGAACCACATTTTTCATTATTGTTGCTGGTTTATGAAATTGTTTGCACCACATTTTTGTCATTGTGGTTGATGGTTTATGAACTTTTTTTGAACCACATCATTCATTATTGTTGTTGGTTTATGAAATTGTTTGAACCACATTATTTATTATTGTTGATGGTTTATGAAATTGTTTGAACCACATTATTCATTATTGTTGATGGTTTATGAAATTGTTTGAACCACATTTTTCATTGTGGTTGATGGTTTATGAACTTGTTTTGAACCACATCATTCATTATTGCTGATGATTTATGAAATTGTGTGAACCACATTTTTCATTATTGTTGATGGTTTATGAAATTGCTTGAACCACATTATTCATTATTGTTGTTGGTTTATGAAATTGTTTGAACCACATTATTCATTATTGTTGTTGGTTTATGAAATTGTTTGAACCACATTATTCATTATTGTTGATGGTTTATGAAATTGTTTGAACCACATTTTTCATTGTGTTTGATGGTTTTTGAATTTGTTTTGAACCACATTATTCATTGTTGTTGGTTTATGAAATTGTTTGAACCACATTATTCATTATTGTTGATGGTTTATGAAATTGTTTGAACCACATTATTCATTATTGCTGTTGGTTTATGAAATTGTTTGAGCCACATTATTCATTATTGTTGATGGTTTATGAAATTGTTTGAACCACATTTTTCATTATTGTTGATGGTTTTTGAATTTGTTTGAACCACATCATTCATTGTTGTATTGTTTGAACCACATTATTCATTATTGTTGATGGTTTATGAAATTGTTTGAACCACATTATTCATTATTGTTGATGGTTTATGAATTTGTTTTGAACCACATGTTTCATTATTGTTGATGGTTTATGAAATTGTTTGAACCACATTTTTCATTGTGGTTGATGGTTTATGAAATTGTTTGAACCACATCATTCATTATTGTTGTTGGTTTATGAAATTGTTTGAACCACATTATTCATTATTGTTGTTGGTTTTTGAAATTGTTTGAACCACATTATTCATTATTGTTGTTGGTTTATGAAATTGTTTGAACCACATTTTTTATTGTGGTTGATGGTTTATGAACTTGTTTTGAACCACATCATTCATTATTGTTGCTGGTTTATGAAATTGTTTGAACCACATCATTCATTATTGTTGTTGGTTTATGAAATTGTTTGAACCACATTATTCATTATTGTTGTTGGTTTATGAAATTGTTTGAACCACATTTTTTATTGTGGTTGATGGTTTATGAACTTGTTTTGAGCCACATTATTCATTATTGTTGATGGTTTATGAAATTGTTTGAACCACATTTTTCATTGTGGTTGATGGTTTTTGAATTTGTTTTGAACCACATTATTCATTGTTGTTGTTGGTTTATGAAATTGTGTGAACCACATTATTCATTATTGTTGATGGTTTATGAAATTGTTTGAACCACATCATTCATTATTGTTGTTGGTTTATGAAATTGTTTGAACCACATTATTCATTATTGTTGTTGGTTTATGAAATTGTTTGAACCACATTATTCATTATTGTTGATGGTTTATGAATTTGTTTTGAACCACATTTTTCATTATTGTTGATGGTTTATGATATTGTTTGAACCACATTTTTCATTATTGCTGTTGGTTTATGAAATTGTTTGAACCACATTATTCATTATTGTTGTTGGTTTATGAAATTGTTTGAACCACATTATTCATTATTGTTGATGGTTTATGGATTTGTTTTGAACCACATTTTTCATTATTGTTGATGGTTTTTGAAATTGTTTGAACCACATTGTTCATTATTGTTGTTGGTTTATGAAATTGTTTGAACCACATTTTTCATCGTTGGATGTGCCTCATTTTTCGTCACTTTGTCTCAGCATTGCACCTTCCAGGCCTACGTCAAGGCACGGATTCTGGATGAGAACCTGTTGAAGAGCCTGGAAACACCTGAGGCGCCGTGGGGGAGGCTCAGGGGGTTTTCAAGGCGCAGGTTCCGGGATGCCCAAAACTTGAAATTTAGCCTCTGGTAATTTAACATAGCTATGGAAAATGGACCATTTATAGATCATTTACCTTTTACCCTTATTAAACTTTGTAATTTTGTCATAGCTATGTTAGTTTACCAGAGGGTATACAATTAATAACATGATTTAATCTGGGACCATCCAAGATTGCTGTTCAGTCATCATTGGATCTTTAACTTGAGTTCAGCAACAGGAGTCGGGAAAACTGACCGGTGAACGGCATATGAACTCATGGAATCACTATCCAACTACAAGATCACTTGTTTTTGACAGGATGTCTAGTATGAGTCACGAAATGGATGATATATGATGATATCAACCAATCAAACATGGGATATGAAGCAACAGTATCGGGGATAGACCTAGCATGTGGATCCATCTAAATACGAGTCAAGATTGACTGACTGCTTTCCCTCTTGAAAGAATCTGTCCATTTGAGAATGAGAAAGCCTCATAGTTTTGGTTCATTTTGATTTACCCTCTGGTTATTTAACATAGCCATGGAAAATGGCCCATTTATAGATGGTTTACCTATTCAAAATGGTGATTTTCCATGGTTATGTTAAATAACCAGATGTGGTAACCCCTGATTGCCGCTAAATCAAGCTATGTTTCTTGCTGCTCTCCCAATTTCAGTGGAGAGCTTTCCGGGCCACCTCCGGAAGGTGTTTTCCTCGTTGCAAAAAATCAGTAGTCCCATAGCTGGATTGCTTTTCACTTGAACATCTGGAAACCTTATGAAGTAGATACCCATTTTGAGCAAAGATGAACAAAGTCAAGTAGGAATACGTCCCCTCCCGGCCTGCCTTGTCAGGTGTATTACAAATTTGTGTCGTTCGTGTCACAACATTATATATAATATATATATACTGTATATATATATATTATTTGTTAAATCCACTATTTGCAGGTGAAACTGTTAATGACAATTTCAATTTTTGGCGGATTCTAACCCAGCGTGAACATAATTTTGCTAGTACACTAATATCTATGATGTGTTAACCCCGCCTCGTATTTTCGCATTGTTTATCAATTGTTACCTTATATCACTTACCGATGATTTCCCATAGTGTTGACCCGTAATGAGAAACCCATTCATCCCTGATTTACCAAGTATTTTTCTTGATGCAAAACCAAACAAAAACGCTCAGAATTCCAAACATATCAACAACAGATCATTATTTTACCCATGATGTACATGTTACATATATATATATATATACATATATATATATATATGTGAACATACCCATCATTAAGCCATGTTTTTGTCGTGACCCATCAGATTTTCCAGGAGGTGCCTGAGGGCGGCCACGTCTTCGTCCGTTGGTCGCTGCCGGACTTGCGCGCCACCGCGGAGGTGTGCCAGCTATAAACATGGTGATTTCGGGGAAGGTTTATTACATTGTTTTAGCCACATTATACTGCTTGGTGGTTGGCTGTCCGAAAACGTGGGAAAACGTGGTGTTTTGGAATATGTTTTATTGTTCCATAATATATGGGAATAATGATCCCAGATGACTTTCATATTTTTCAGAGGGGTTGAAACCACCAACCAGTATATGTTTTATCTACGATAACTTAGAATCTATATATGAATCTATATGCATGTATATAATCTACAGAATATAGATTTATAATCTGAATGTTTGTATATATTATTTTGATGATTGAGTATTGTTATTACTATTATATCTATATCAAGTATAGCCAGTGTTATTGTGTTTTATTCATGTACATATAGGTATAGTAAGTTTAGTATATCATAATATATTTGGAGAAAAATAGTTAAACATACTAACACTATATAGACTAACATTGATGTTAGATCCAATAACTATTAGTGTGATTAATAATATATGAATGTGTCTAAGTTTAATATATATATATACACATACATACATATAGTAATGAGCATGACAATCATGACAATAGTAATAGAAAACATAGTAATGCTAATAGTAATAATATATGTATACAGATTAATGCATGATATTTTGTGTGTTATATATGTACATAATTGTATGATATGTGTCTAATATACATATAGTATCATATAGTTATATTACATAGACACTTATATATATGTATATATATACTGTCAGTATGACACTCTGAATGATATTGCATTTGGGTGAGCTATAATTTCAAAGATACATACACATACAGTCTATATCAGAATTGGACCTTCAAATGACATGCCCAGACAAATGGACAGGTCAATACAATAGAGAAAATTGCTGATTTTGTGGGTCGTTTGGCACAGCCATAACCGTATATTTGAAATATATTATCATTTGTAAGGATGATTGGCTAAACATCAGCATTTATATCAGCCATGGATAAACATCAACAAGTTGATTCCCTTGGGATTACCATAATATGTAGATGGCTAAACCTTCAGAGACCTCCTCCAAAAGTGATTGTGAGGCAGGTTTTGAGGGTTGAAACACCTCCTTCAGTGTTTGGAACTGCCAGGTATATAAGTACAATTGACCTTCCTTTATCATATTATATATATACACACATAGTTGATCGTGATATGGCAGGAGCAGGTTGCTTGTTTCCGATTGGACATAGGGTACGAATTGCAAATGGCAATTGATTGGAATGATCTCTTGTGGCCTGTATTTCTGACCAAGACATGGCAGTTTCTTTGCGTCGGTGAGGATGTTACCCTCTGGTAAACTAACATAACTATGGAAAATCACCATTTTTAATGGGAAAACTCACTATAAATGACCATATTCAATAGCTATGTTAAATTACCAGAGGGTACATCAACATCCCATTTGCTCCCCATGTCAGACTGTTTGGTGGAACTCTTCCGCAGTTGAGTGGCCACACAGCTAAAGGTGAAGCTGGAGGGCATGCTAAATCCACAAGCCGCAAGCTGGATTGCTGCGTAGAAGACCAACATTCCTATATTATTAAAAATATACAGTATCTCAAGAGATCCCAGATTCCAATACATCCCAACTCACATATATATATATATAATTATATGTGTACACACTAGTATACACTATAAAATACACATACACAGATATCAATTGATATAAATATATGATAACATAGGATAATATATATATATATATACATATACATATACGTATATATATATATACACATATATATATGTTGATGCCATTATATACCATAATATATGAATGTATTCCAGATATCCCATTGTATCCCCAGTATATCCCGACATCGCACGTCCAAGCCAGGCCAGCGAAGTTTCTGAGTCTAAACCCCCCACGGCTGTGTTGGGGGCCACGCGGCCAGGGGGTCATGGCAGCCATGGAACCCCATGAAATCCTCACCTGGGAGCTGGAATTTACGAAATTTATGATGGAAATTATGAATGTTCTTCCCGCAAACATGGTATATAAGGGTGTAATATATATATATATATACATGCATACATACATACATACATACATACACATACATATACATATACATATACATATACATATACATATACATACACATACACATATACATATACATACATATACATATACATATGTTACACATATATATATATTATGATGTTGATTTTTTGTTGCTTCGTTTTGCGAATCTTCAACAAGATACTTATATAGACTTGTGTTTTCCCTGTTGCAATATTGCTAGCATGTTTTTGATGTTCCCACTTATGAGCGGGAGGATGATCTCCAATTAACAACATCTTTGAATGGGTTTAAGCCCGGGGGTATAATTACGTGTGTCGTCATGAACATCCAGGGCCCAACATTTAGCTGTGAACAACAACATTCAGCCGTAGGTTGACAATTACAATCTGCAGGTTTCATGAATTTGGTGGGCGCTTAATATGTACCATACTTACGTGAAGTTTCTCTTCGAATACAGTTCTCCTCTTGCGTTTTAACACAGACAGTTGTGGAAAATCATCAGTTTGTGATCAACCATAAATGGACCACAAATGGGCTGTTTTCTATTAAGTTACCAGAGGGTGCCCATATTTGCTTGACAGGGGTGCCTAGGGATAACTTGAATATCTGTATGGTTAAATAATGTTAAATAATGTCAAGTGAGGATTAATAATGCCCTCCCGATTAATCAACAGCAACTGCCCAAAAAAAAAATGTAATTTAAAAACAGGTGGTCCCCCCAGATTAATAATTTTTTTGGCCTACCCCCCATTAATCAACAACCACTTCGGAAATCCATTTTTTATCCAACATTTTTTATTTCCAATTCTATTTATTTCCAATTGTTTTTTACCTTTTTTTAATCATCATTGTTATACTTCAGGTTTAAGTTGATCATTGAAAATTTCAAAAAACAACTATTCCCCAAATGATCGATTTCTAATTAAAATATTTATAAAAAACATCAGTTTGGATAGCTCCCAAAGGGTACCCCCCATGAGCCCATGTCCCCCAGTAATAATAACCATGGTTTGCCCCTGATTAATCAACCACCTTTCTGATCCATGAAATTTTAACAAATCCAATGGAATTCTATTAAGATCTAATTGACGTAAGCCATATCCAAAGTTTTATGGTTCAGAGTTGCTTATTATTAAGGGGCGATCAAGAAAACCAGTCAGAAGGTACCTCCCTACCTTCTGGGGGGGGAGTTTATTAATCCGGTGTTGGCATTACATGTAAATACCTACGTGAGGTTTCTCTACGGATAGATTTAAGAGTTGTTTTTTTTTTAATGTTTTTTTGCACCTCACCTCTCCCTGAGACCGGCTCAGGTGTACGTCTTTGCTGGTCTTTTTGTGCCCGCTGGCTTGGAACCCAGGGGATGCAGGGGCCCGGGTTGGCACAGGCTCAACGTCTCCAAATGTGGCAAAAAAAAATCACAAAAAATATCACTAGTAGTATCAGATTTTTCCAAATTTGACCATTTGACAGAGTGTCTTTCTCCCAGCCATCACTAAGGGTGAAGAAGAGCCTAGGCCTTTGTTGGCGCGCTGATGCCTCAGATGCCTCAGATGCCAGAGCTGGGATTCCAACGGAATTAACACATGGAATTGATGGCAAGATTATTTTTCGTAGGACCATATTTTCTCGGCAACAAAAAACATATGGATCATCTTTCCAACATAGTAGGGCTATGTTTCGCTTTGCGACAATCTGATGAACGACATGTGTTTGCAATATTTCTGTTGTTGGTTGTATTCCACCTTGATTTCACACATTATTCCAACTATTAGCCCATCCAGTTATGACTGAACATTCGAATTATTATCCCAACTATTCCAATTATTATCCCCAGTTCGGTGGAATAATTGTCGGAATAGGACCGACAAGTTCCACGGAAGGATATCCCATTGTAACCACAAGATATGTCATACCCATTAAGCTATGTGAGTTGGTTAAATCATGTTAAATCCCTATAGTATATCCTATTACTATCCCCGTTTGCATTTCCTCTACGTTTTGAGGGGGCTTGGGTCCCGTATAAAGCTGAAAAAACTAACTAGCTATTTTATACAGAAAAATGGGGCTGGTTCCCCAGCACTGGTAGACAAATAATGGTATGTAAAAATCATGTTGGATGCACTAGCTTTTTGTAGAGAGGTCATTTTGGAGCAGTTTTTCGGTCATGTAAAAATGCAACCAGCTTTTTTGTAGAGGACTTCATTTTGAGGCTTGAGCAGCCATGTCCGAGTGCTTAGACCTGGGAACTCATTTTATAGAGGGATCATTTTATAGAGTGTTTGCATGTAGTTTTTTGATCGAGGATGAGAAAGCACCTACAGAAAGGGGAGGACTTGGGCTACGCTACAAACCACCAGGTAGGGTCGTTTTGTAGAAAAACAAAGCACTTGTGCCAAGGTTTTTGTAGTCTTCTTCAAATGGTTTAACCGACTTTTTGCAAAAGGAACCTGCGACGCCGCGGCTCTTTTTGCAAACCTTGTAAAATGGCATTCACTGAAAGTACAGGATGTGCAAGATGAAATCCTTGGGTTTGAGGTTTGTAATGTGGGGCAGTGGTTCAGGAAGGGCTTCCCCCAGGGGTGAAGACTGGGAGAAAGCACCCATGGGCCTTTTTTTGTAGAGGATCAACTTGGTGCCAGCACTTTGTATGTAGTGGGTGAACACGCTGCCGGTGCGTCACTGCCAATATATAACCTGCAATTGGACCTGCTGCCACTACCTAACCTGTAATTGAACATGGTGCCAGTGCGTAACCTGTAATTATTGTGAACCCGCTGCCCATACGCAACCTGCAATTGAACCTGCTGCCACTACCTAACCTGTACTTGAACACGCTGCCAGTGCGTAACCTGTACTTATTGTGAACCCGCTGCCAATATGTAACCTGCAATTCAACTCTCTGCCCCCAAAAGTGAAGACTGGGAGAAAGCACCCATGGGCCTTTTTTGTAGAGGATCAGCCTGGTGCCAACACTTTGTAGTGGGTGAACATGCTGCCACTGCGTAACCTGTACTTATTTTGAACCCGCTGCCAATACAGAATGGTATCTTAACAACTGCATGAGGTCCAAACTTGATCCAATCAAATTCAAGCAATAACAGCTACAACATGTTTCCTGAGAAAGATGTTGGTCGGAACTTTGGATGGAATAGGCCAAACTAGAAAATGCTCATGGGAAAAATCATGTTAGCATGTCCGATTTTCAGCTCTTAAACTTTAGATGCATAGTTTTTTTTGTAGTGCATACTTGAAAGGAAAGTGCAGGTTGAATCAAAACGCAGATAGCATAGAGGTTACTGTAGTATAGAAACTTCGTTGTCCATAGCCGGACGGCACCTCTACAAGTAGCAGACACGAGGATAAAAAAGGACTTATACAGTAAAGCCTTCTTTCTCTACAAAATGCCCAAGGTTCGAAGGGACCTAATCTCCTGAGAGCACAGAATCCTCTACAAAAAGGATAAGGAAAAATCCAGCTGGATGATTGATGGTTCTTTTAGGTTAGCCATGTGGGTTGGGCAACCTTCTTGTAGAGCTGATTTAGCTCGGTTCTTGGCATCGTGCCTAGAGTTGGCACTAGCTTCCTGTAGTCCTCGGGTTTTTGCAGGTGTTTGGTGTTTGTAGACACTGGGGTTGGTCCCTAGTGATTTGTGACGTGGAAGTGAGGGTCCAACTTCTCCCCCTGTTTCAAATGAGTATCCATTAATCTATTTGAATCTCTACATGCTTCATCATATCCCATTCATCTCCACATGCTTCATCTCCTATTTTGTTTCCCCGAATTTCCTATGGTTTCTTCGATGAATCCCCAAATCCCCATTAAAACTGCTGGCTGTCGAGGCTCGCTGGTACACCTGGCCGCTCTGCAGAAGAGGGCCGATATCTTGTCCACCGACCTCTGCAGGTCGGGGAGCTGTGATTTTTTCTGGGATTTTCGAGATTGTGGTGATTTAATGTTGATGAATAGGGATTTAATTGGTGATTCATAGGGATTGAATGGTGATTTATAGGGATTTAATGGGATAGTAAGGTTGCTGCATATTCTTCCAGCACTGCGCTGGATTCTTGCTCCGCATGCTGAGCACGTGGGAGCTTTTTGGACCAACATGGGATAGTAATAGGGATTTAACTTAACTAATACCAGGGGAGTTTAATGGGGATTTCATAAAGGTTAATGGGATATGATAGGGAGTCAGCCAACAACAAAGGTTTAATGGATGTAAAATGGAATATATTGGGGACACAATGGGATATCATATAACATGATATGAATATATGATAATATAATATAATTATATATGTGGGTTTGTTTCAACAAAATGGAACCCCAAAATCCCACACTTACAGTATCACAATTTTCCACCCTAAGAAAAAACTATTAATTTTGGGGATATACCTCATTTCAAGACAGAACCATATCCTGCTGTACTGAACATCACACAATTGGATCAATTGGTGAATGAATTGTTTTTTGAATTGACATGATATATTGAAGGATTACCATGCCATTCGCGACATGCGGACGCTTACCTGCAATCAAAGCATGATGTTTCTAATATTACTAATATTGTAGGAATCCAAGATGAACCCTGTTAGGGAAATCAGTCTCCGACGATTTCGGTGAGAACATATCTCAAGACAAGACTTATTTATAATTACCCCCAAAGAAATACAAAATCATTTATCTCTATTCAAGTAGGATTTTACTTGTTTGTTTCTTTTTGTGAATGGTTGCTATAGGTTTATTTCAGGTTTGTGAATCATTGGGATGATTGCTACAGAAAGTGACTAACGTTTGTACCGAGCACCAACCAAACTTTGATGATCTTATTTCCGCACAACTGGTATCCCTCAACCATTGCGTGATGGTCAAAAACTTGTTTATTTTTCCATAAAAGGGGATGGTCATTCAGCCGCTCATGGGGATTGTATAATGGCCTGTATATAAGGATTCACAATAATCCCTTCCCGCTAGCTAGTAACAGCTAGTATTGAATACCCCGATTATAGGCCCCAGGTCATGACTAGATCCAATGCTCAACCAGGGTTTTTCAGCCGGTGTTTAGTATTAGGGACGGGATATTCAGGATTTGAAATAATGGTGCGATGGCCACTACCATGTAGCTCACTATATATCAATTAATCTAGATTTTCTTCCCATTCATGTTCAAACTAAGTTCAACCACCAGGTTTCCCTATTTTTGATGGTAAAATCTCTATTTTTGATGGTCAAATCCCTATTTGTCATGGTAAAATCCTAGGTTTCCCGCGTGTTCGATGGTAAATTCCGTAGCATCACGTAGGCCGGCCACAGCGGTGAGTGCCTCATATATGGAGCAAGAGCTGAGGGAGGTGCCAAAATCCATGGGGGAAAATGTGAGGAGATGGGTTTTAACTGGGAAAAGTAGGGGAACATCAGGGAAAATCATGGAAAATAGGGGAAATCATAGAAAAGCAGGGGAAAATCATGGAATTTTAACTGTTGGGAGGAAAAGTAGGGGAACATCATGGAAAATGAATGAACATCGATAGTTTTAGAAGGAACATGGATGATAAACCAAAAAGAAAAAATGGGGAGGAGTGAGGATTTTCGGTGGTTTTTAATGCAACAAGGTTAAAAAAAAAAAAAAACAAGCCGGAACGACGTCCAAAGACCTGAGTTGGTGTGGGGTACAAAACACCCTTCTCAAGAGGTGTTTTGGAAGCCTTGGAGAGTAACCCTTCTTCAGGGCTTAGTCCATTAATTGTTGCTAAAAAGCGCCGGCAAAAGTCCAAGCATTGGCGGAGATTCCAGCCACTACATCCTGACACTGTAACTATGATATACTATGATATTTTTTGGACAAATTGCTACAATTTGGATAAATTATAATGACCTGGCTGCGACGTCACTGGAATGATGAAAATGTAGGGGGAACTATCCCAAAATGGTCGTCTTAATTCAGGTGTGAGACTTGTTTTACAGGAGATGCAGGTAAATGAACAAAAAACAACTAGCTGGATGGGTTCAAAGATGGGTTGAAAGCACTACTGTAACGCCTTAGATCATGGGGAGTGGCTGAGATACATGAAGTCCCAAATCTTATCTTAAGAAAAAATAAGAAATAGTTATATAAATAGATGTACTAGTAGGTGTTATATATATATAATAAATTACACCATATATATCGATGCGCATGGAGAAATTCGGAGACTCGTAGTCTTTTAGTGCCAACTTCAACAAAACCACCACAGCTGACTCAGGAGATATTGATTCAGTCCTGCTTCGTCGGACACAGATCATATTTCATTCAGATCCATGTATATATTTGGGTACGTCCAACAAAACTCAGCAGCAGAAGTGATAACACGGTTTATATATATATATAAATATTTGTCGATACTGTCGATATGTTTGTTCTGGGCAGTGCATATATGAATTTAATATACAGTATATGTATATATATTAATGTATATTAATATATATTAATATATATTAATATATATTAATATATATACACATACATACATACATACATAGCATAGCATAGCATAGCATAGCATTGCATTGCATTGCATTGCATTGCATTGCATTGCATTAC